GGAGGGACAGCGCAGGAGGGGAAGGCCCTCTATGAGGTGAATTGATTCAGTGACTGGGATAATTGGGATGGGAGTGTCACAGACAGTGCGATTGGCACAGGACAGAGCAGAGTTTAGGACTGCTGTACATAGGGTCGCTATGAGTTGCAAGCGACTCGACGGCACTTAACAACAACAAACAACATGTGGAAACAGAAAATTAGTATTTGGCAAATATTACAATTGTTAACTGTCCTAGGAAAGAACCATTAAGCGGACCCTAAAATTAGAAGGCAAAAGTATGAGGTGAAACTAGACATTTGCACAGTTTAGAACTATCTGTAAACCTCATTCTTAACCAAGTGATCACAATAAATTATCAATAGTAATAGAGTAATGGAATAAATTGACAATAAGTCACTTCCACTATGATGCAATGAAATACAATAGCACACCTGTGGCAATCCTATGAAAAAGGCATAATTTGAGTTTACTCATGAGGAAATAGTAGACTAAATTAAACATTATTCCACAATTTAATTAGGAAGTTCAAAGCGGAAGTGGCATGCACTTCCTAAACAACATGCCTCCGGAAACTCTAAGAACTATTATAAACGTTGATAGTTATAGAAAGGCTTCAGGCCTTTTGTTCATAGGGTCACTTTGAGTCAAGCTCAGCTCGAAGGCAATCAACAACAATTTGGAAGTATTTTTCAAAGCCATCAAAAAGTATCAATGATAACAACTGAGGATCTGTCTCAAAATAAAGCAGACATAAGACACAGAAAAATGACTACAAATGCAACCTTTGATCCTTGACTGGATTCTGAACCTGAAGAAGGATTTTACTAGGAAAACTGATAACATTTGAATAAGGACTGCACATTAGGTAACATTGTATCACCAGTGTTTATTTCTGATTTTGAAAATGGTATTATTTTATGTTAAGAGGTTAACATTTGGTTAAATAACAGTTATACAAGAATTCCTGTACTATTGTTGTAGTACAAAAATACAAGTATACAAGAATTGTACTATTTTTGTAAATTTGAAATTATTTGAAAATTAAATATATTAATTTTTTAAATCACAGAACTGTGAAACAAGTGAGGGCTTAAAGGAATGAGTTGCTATTTCACTTTTTCCCAATTTTAATAATATACTGTATTTAAATATATATAAGGTATTATTTCAATAAGTAATCAGTATCTCAAAATATAAAATTATTCAAATGCTTTTAGGGAAAGAAACTGCATATTTAAAATTATATTCACTGAATATAGGATTATATTAGTACTTGTGGAAGGAAAGCAACTGAGGGGGAGAAAAGAACAAGACTTAGCAGCTTTTTAAGAAAATACTTTTGTAGTCAACAATTTTCTTACACTTATGAAGATTCTTATCCTCACATAATTTTTTGCCAGTAATGCTTAACAAATATCTATCAGTTTCTGAACCAGAAAAATTGTAACTAGAAGGTCATAAAGTGGTTTTTAGGAAAAAAATTAAAAATTGTTCTCCTTGTAGAATATATTCAGATACAGGATTTTTTTTTTCCAGGAGTTCTGGTAGACTCTCAGTTCAAGCACTAAGTTGCTAACCTAAAGGTCAAGGTGGTTCTGCCAGAGAAAATGACTGAGGGCAATCTGCTCCTGAGAAGGTTACAGGCTAGGAAACCCTATGGGGCAGTTCTCATCATGCACACGGGGCTGTAAGATAGAATCCACTGGACAGCACACAATATTTTTTCAACATATTGCCTTTTTGTGATCCTTGAAATATCAAGAAACCAAGAATGTTTCCTTTGATGTAGCCACAGTCTTTAAATTTTAGGCAAAACAAAACTTCATTTATAATACATTGACACAAACAGGAAGAAAAAGTAAGCCACGTAAAAGATTCTCATTTTTTGTCATCTTTTTTTTGGTTTTTGTTGTTTTTTTTTTAAAAATCCACTTTTCATTTCTAAAAGAAAATGTGTTATGTTTTCTGTTGGAAATCTAAGTTTAAAGTGAATCTTTCAGAACACTGTTACTACTCAGGCAATACACGGTTACATGCAAAAATGTCAGGTTCCTGTTTGTGAGGTCAAAACTCTAAATGGGTGGAACAATGAGAAAATAAAAAAAACAACAAAACAACTCTAAATGGGTGAAATTTCTTAGTACTGTAACTCACATTACTCTACCTCCAGCAGCTCCATTCTTTATTTCCCATCTTAAGTTCCTTGTCACCAAGACTTTCAACAGGGAGTTCTGTCCTAAGTAGTATCCTCCACGTCTATCTAAAAGCCTTTTGAAAGCTACCCGTCTGCTAACTTACCTTGGTTTTAGTGCTTCCTACAGTAGCAGATATTAGGCAAAATAAATTGCAAATATAATGCATATGTTTAAAATCGCATACACTGAGCCATAAAATGATCTCTTGCATGCTTAAATATTCTCACACAAATAATGACTAAAACAGCTATAATAGCATTAACAATCAAATTTGAACAATTAAGTAAAAAACAATTGCTAACTATTTCCTGTGTGTACTGTAGGATTACTGCTTACTGTATTATCAGAGAAGCAGGGCTGTACAGCAGAGACCACCATTCTGGGAGTCAGCACACTACAGCTACTCTGCTTTCCATTTCACTACATGGGATCTTGGAAAAGTGTCCCAAGTTAGAGAACAGACAAAAATAAAAACTACAAAAACTGCTTTTACGATTGTAATCGTTATGATACTCAAGTCCAAAATAAAAAACTAGCCTAAAAACATCAACATGTCAAAAAAAAAAAATCAACATGTCATGAATATACAGTATAGAAAACAATAAAAAAATTAGGACAAAGCATAAAAGCACTTTATGTTCCTAGTAAATTGCATAAGACACAAGGGAATTAAAGCAATTAAAGAATGAACTTCTGTATTAAAAAAGTAGAGAAGGCTCTATGGGGAACCAGGTGAGGTTACTGAGGAATCAGTTCAACAGATATTAATTGGCTACCACACTTAAAGGCATCAGGGACATCAGGGACAGAAATAGAAGGGAAATACAGGTAAGCCTTCTAGAAAATGGTGAGAGCTAGCACAGGACCAATCAGAAACAAAAGGCAGCAGACACACAGGGGACCTAGTGATTAGTGAACATGAGAAAACCTTACTCACATCACTGCTATAATCCAAAGAGACAGAAGAGAAAGCAGGATAGGAAGAAAAGGACTCTGGATTGATCTGAAAGAAGAGCAGAAAGTTACAGAGGTAACAGAGCATGGAGTCTATCAGGTGAATGAGAAGCAGTGATCAAAGCCTTAGACTACTATGGTAGACCATTTTCTCTGTTTCTTGGAAGCTTCCAATCACAGCATTGTCCAGCTACCCAGACTAAACTTAAAAGCTGAGAGCAAAAATACCTGATTGGGGAAAGGAACTTGTCCTCCAGGATACTGAGAGGGCACCTGTCCTCCAGGAAAACCACCTACATGTTAGAAAAAGATTTTATGATTTACTTAAACAGCATTGTAAATATAGAACATCTGACAACATTTCAACATTTAAATGAAGTTATTTACAAGGATAATTTTTAATTCACTGAATCTAAATCCAACTTTAGGGAGCTCTGGTGGCCTAATAGGGAGCTGTGCTATAAACTCAAAGGCAGGAAGTTCGAATCTTCTAGTAACTCCAAGAGAGAAAGATAAGCAATCTTCTCCCATGCAATTTATAGACTCTGAAAACCTATGGTAGGGTCAGTTAAGAAACAGTTCTAACAGCACTGGTTTAAAAGACGTCAGAATATAACTGGAGATTATTTCCTTGATACTATAGAGTGAAAAGAAAAGTACCAGCCTATTTTGCTTTAAACCAGAATTTTTTTTTCATGGAAAAAAAGGAATCTTTTTTATTTTTTAGTTTTATTATTTTGTGTGTGTGTACCGTCAAATCAGATCTGACTGGTACAGGAGGAGATTGTTCCTCCTTCTCCAGCAAAGCATCTGGTGGATTTGAACCGTGCACCTCTGGGATTGCAGTACACCTTCTTGCCACTAGGCCACAAGAGCTCGCCAAAAAAAAAGGAATCTTAATCTCTATCTTGGTGAGTAAACACTCCATCAAATTAATATATTCCACAAAATCATATATTAGAAATTATTTGTAATAATACTTAATATTAGCATTGGGTTAAGCCTGTATTTACTACTAGTCTGATACAGGCCATGGTCTTTGTAATCACTTGTTATGCATCAGAGAGTTGGACAATGACCAAGGAGGATAGAAGAAGAATTGATGCCTTTGAGCTGTGGTGCT